AACCCCATACAGTAACTCTCGGACATCCCAGCAGAGCATTAGCAAGGTGGTATCATACACACTTATACTGAAATTGTTTTGGCAAATGAGTGGTTGAATAAGATGGCACCAAAAGGAAGCTAAATGTTGTCTGATTACAAGCAAGACAATCTTAGGAGATATAAAGGAAGAGCTGCGCATTTACTACAAGCCACTGAAATGGATCAAGAAATAAACTCATGCACTACAACAATACCTCTATTGCTGAGGTAATATCCTGTGTGATAACATTATATACAACAGTATACTTGAAAGAATAGGTTTTGTTCATTAGTCAAGGAACTCATAAGTGAACCCTGTCATAATGTGGTATTAGCTATTTCCATACAGAGGCAGAAGCTATTATAATAGCATGAACTGATACAAAATAGCACCAGTTGCAAATTGAAAATATGAAACAAAAAGAGAAGAAAAGAGCGCTCCTGTGACAGAACGCTGATTTGGATTCTCTGTTCCGATCGCTTCCCCACATAACCAATATTTTCCTGCTTCTGGCTGTGACTGGCAGTGATGTTATTAATGATCAGAATTCTAGAAATTGATTTTAATTCAAAAAAAATTGATCTCTAAAAATTTCATTTACTTCTGAAGAATCCCAATTCTTTCTCTTAAAAAAACAAAGAAGCCATCTAGGCAAACCAGTATTTAAAAAAAAAAAAACATTTCTAAGTGAGTAAGGAATGCACTCAGACAAGAAAAAAACAGAGAAGAGGAAATTAACTGCACACATGGGCAGGGATCAGAGCGCAAAATAGGACAGAGGGATGACGTAAAAAGATGCAGAACGCCAGGCTACTTTGGGCAGGTTGATATCAGATGGTCCCAAATGCTCTGATAACAGCACAGCAAGCAGAGTCTGCCCTTCCATTACATGTGCCTCCCCCTGCACTTTGCCCCTTTATTACACACTGCCTTCTCTTTAAGAGTGAAGAGCTTGCGGCCCTTTGCAGTTTAACAAATAGCTCTGTATTGTATTGCTGACATATTTACCTTGATACAGAAGATCTAAAACTAGACATATTATTCAGAAATACAATAAAAAAGATCGTAATTGTTAAGTATAGCAAATGCTGTACTGCTTTCATCACTCTCACAGGCATTTTGTTTCCTTTTTCAGACTGCCCGTAAGGAACCAATCTTTCTGTTGCGTATTCAGTGTTAACCTGATGTTTATATTTAAGAAGCTTACATATCCCAGTACTTTCAACTTGGTTCTCTGAATAGAGGATAGGGTGGTAAGATGCTTTCAAATGATGGCAATGGAGCTATGAGCTTAAAGAAAGAGAGGAATCAACTAGAAGAGATGGGGCTGAAACATGCCAGCTGCCTGCACTCTAAGGACAACAGGGACTGCTGTGGCTTCTTATCAGTGTTTATATGTCAACACTGTGTAATAAAAACAAAAGGAATTTGAGCCATTGTGAGCAAGTCCATCTTTTTTTGTTGTTGTTGTTATTTTTAAATTTTCTCACATTAATGATACAGCCCAGAAAACGCTGCTTACATTTCTCCCATAGTAACACAGGCATTTTCATCCTAAAACACAGGACAGTCATGGGTTTATGTAAGCTTGATTTAATCACAGAATCAGAACATCCTGAGTTGGAAGGAACCCATAAAGATCACTGAGTCCAGCTACTGGCTCCACACAGGACCACCAAAAATCAGACCATATATCTGAGAGAGTTGTTCAGATGCTCCCTGAACTCTGACAAACTCGGTGCCATGAGTTTGTGCCCTAGGGAGGCTGTTTCAGTGCCTGATCACTCTCTGATGAAGAACCTTTTCCAGACATCCAGCCTGACCCTTCCCTGATGCAGTTTCATGCTGTTCTCTCGCATTCTATCGCTGGTCATCAGAAAAAGACGATCAGCACTGCCCCTCCACTTCCCTTGTGAGGAAGCCATAGACTGCAGTGAGGTCTCTGTTGAGCTGAACGAACCAAGGGACCCCAGTCTCTCCTTATACATCTTCCCCTCTAGGCCCTCCACCATCTTTGTGGCTCTCCTTTGTATACTCTCTAATAGTTTTATGCTATTTTGTACAGTGGTGCCCAAAACTGCACATGGTACTGAAGGTGAGGCTGCACAGCACAGCATAGAGTGGGACAAACACTTCCCTTGACAGGCTAAGAATGCTATGCTTGATGCAAGCCAAGATACAGTTGGCCATCCTGGCTACCTGGGCACACTGCTGACTCATGTTCAACTTGCTGTTGACCAAGATCCCCAAATCTCATTCAGCAGGGCTTCTCTCCAGCATCTTATTCCCTTTTTAGCCAGGGTTGCCCCCTTCCAGGTGGAAAATAATGGCCCTTGCTCTTCTTAAACTTCACGCAGTTGGGGATTGCCCAGCTCTCTCATTTATCTAGATCTCTCTGTAAGACCTCTCCAGTCTTGATGGAGTCAACAGCTCCTCCTAGTTTAATATTGTCTGCCAACTTAACCAAAATACCTTCTACTCCTACATCCAAGTCATTCATGAAGACATTAAAGAGAACTGGCCCTAAAATGGAGTGCTGGGGAATCCTGCTAATAACTAGCTGCTAGCTTGATGTAACTCCATCACTATTATAACCCTTTGGGCCTGACCCATCAGCCAACTGCTCACCAGCTGCATTATGTTTTTGCCTATGTGTCTGCTGGACATTTTGTCCAGAAGGATACTGTGAAAAACAGTATCAAAAAACTTCACTGAAATTCAAAAAGACAACATCAACCTTGGTCAACTAGATGGGTGATCTTTTCATAAAAGAAAATTAAGTCAGTTAAATGGGATCTTTCTTTCACGAACCCATGTTGACTGTGACCAATGACCACACTGTCCTTCAGACATTTTTCAGTAACTCCTAGCATGATTTTTTCCATGATTTTACTAGGCATTGAAGTAAGAGCGACAGGCTGACAGGCCTGTAATTACCAGGGTCTTCCTTTTTGTTTTTCTCGTAAATTAAAACAATGTTAGCCAGCTTTCAGTCAACTGGTATGTTTCCATATTCCCAAGACCATTGAAAAATAACTGAGAGAAGTGAGAGAGGTCATGCAATGAAATTGGCCCTCTGAGTACCTTGTGATGAATTCCATCAGATCCCTTAAAATTATATACATCCAGATGGAACAGAAAATCCTGCACAAGTTCAGCATTGGCTGTGCATTGATTGTCACCACAGTCACGTTCCTCCACCCTGGGGCACCTGATATTGCGTACAGCCTTTTCACCCATACTCTCACTTACCCAAGTGAACTATCTATAATTCTACCTACACATTTCTCATTGTTTTGGTCAATAGTGTAAACTATATTTGGGCCAAGGCATCTTCTGGGGCTCTCTCAGACAATCCCAGAGCTCTGCTGGGTGACTAGCAGTGCAACCCTCTTGGCAAAATGCCCCTCACCATTCACAGCATGGACACACATGGAGTACACAGCTGCTTTACTCTGGGGACAGACATTTTTGCCACAGACACACGAGCAGCCCATGGACTTGTCCCCAGGTGTCATGGAGCTCCTGGAAGGATGGCCATATGAAGGGAATGAAGCTCGTGCCCTCTGCAAGCTTCCTAAGGTGAAGGACTAATCCCACTGTGTCAGTGAAGATGGCAAACTGAGTAAAGATCACACCTTTCTTACTAGAAATAAACATTTATCTCATCCTACAGAATGCTGAGGGCACTCATCTTGCAGAGCAGAAAGTGATACTGGTGGAGGCAAGGTGCACTGTCAGACTCCTGGCACCACTGGCATGCAGAAAATGTCTGCTCAACTGCATCAAGTTCCTTTGCCACAGCATCACATTCATCTCAAATCAAACACTACAGAGTTCAACTTACAAAAATAAACCTAGTTTATTTTATGATCCGTGTTGTCAAGCAGACATATTTCACCCTACAGTGAAAGGCTCATGCCTTTTTTTTCCCCCTCTCTTTAAGGTAACTATCCCTCAGAGACTAAAGACACACACTGCATAATTACATGGGCTGTTGTAACCCCAAGCATGTTTTTCAGCTTCCTACACTTCACAGCAGGACCAGGTGTGCTGGTTTTCTTTTCTACTTATCCATTCTGTGAGGTTTACTTTTTTTATTCTCCGAAATGTTTTAGGAGATAAAACAGGTACAATTGTAAATGACTGCAATGCCTCATAGCCACACACTGCACATGCTCTGGAGGTAGTAATGGAAGAGCAGCTACTGTTGGATATAATGTGAGAATTAGTGAAGAAAAACTTACATTTATACACAGCTCTTGCAAGGACTATTGCTTTTCTAGAAGATAACTATTTCATTTAATAGTTACTTTTGCGGGAAGCAAAATAATCACCTCAGAGACAGTCTCTTAAGAGATGATAAAGTAAATGTTCTCAAATTTTCTAATTGAAAACAATAGCAGAAAGTCTTGTCTTTACGATAGTAAAAATCACTTCTCTCTGTGCACTCTTCTCCCTCTGCTCCAATACACAGTTACGTAACTGCTTTCCACTTGAGATTTCTCGCCACATCCTTTGCACAAAAACCAGTAGTAACCCACTTCACTTACTCATATCTTTTCAGGGTACTTTCTACTCTCAACAGTTTTCTCACCACAGTAAAGATGTATCTAAACAGACATTCAGAACCAGGCTCAGACATCTGCAAGAGGCCAAGATTCGGATTCAGTCTATGAAAAATCCAGCCACTGTGTTCTCCCTTTATTTGTCCCCATAACTACTGTTCCCTTGCTCATAAGCATGTCACCTTCAATGGCCCAGCAGCACCACAGCCCTCCCAGAGGCCTCTGACATCACAGTGTGTTTAGAAGTACTTTGTACATACCAGGCGATGGTTAGCATCGCACACACTCAGTGCATCTGGATCTCTTCTAGTTCAGGCTCCCCGCTGTCTAGAAGTTTATAATCCACCTTCCCATGTTTACATTCGGACAGCATTTTCATCCCCCTCCATACCTGTGGTAGTTTCAAAATACCTCCACTTCTGTTGTCCTCCCAGTTCTTGCCCGTCTTGGGACTCCTCACCCAGCTTCTCCCAGCATTTCCCTCCCAGCACTCCAGCAGCATTCAGCGCTCAGTGCAGATTGCTCTTCTATTCCTTGGGGTGTCTCATGCCTTTGTACATTTGACCTCTCCCTCTCAGTTCAGCCTACCATGTCTGATTGCCTTGTTGACATTCTGCCCTGGATATTCTACGGCTGCTCAGACTTCACAGGATGAAACCAAACACCTCGTTCTTCCCTCACAAGGGGAAATTTCTGCTGCAACACCATTTCTGCTCACCGAAGTTTTCAGTACAGATGCCTTATACACCCCTCTCTGTTTTCTATTTTCTGACTAACTTGGCATTAAATGCAACTGTGACTTTCAGTGTGATGGCTAAAACATTTCCCATCTGCATTGGCACGCTTGTAACCTCCGGCTCCTCTCTGAGCTTTTCCCTTTCCATTTTTTACCTCATCATAATGCAGCATCCACACCTTCCCTTCATCCTTACTTCAGGGAGTCCATCTGCATGTCCAAATTCCTTCAGCAACTTCTCTCCAAATTAAATGACCTCCCTTTGAAGATACCATAGGACTCAGCACCTGCCTCCAGCATTTCCTTTGGGTGCACTGCTATCTCTTCTGCTCTCATCTTGTGCCTTTTGCTAGATAGCTTAGTGGCCTTAGAACGATTTTGTCTTTTTCAGTATGAATTTTCCTTCCCCAATTTTGTCAATGCTGAGAAAGCAGAGTAAAATCATGACTAGAATCCAGGATTCACAACTAGATTTGGAAGGTATTTCAGCATTAAATCAATAGTACTCCACTGGCTTGCCTATACTATAAGGATTGAATCCTGGTCTTTGTATGTAGTACCAGAAAATGGAATAATTGCTTAGGTTGTAGGAGCTACAACCTGGTCTATGAACATAGCTGCAGGCCTGAAACCTATCTAAACTGTATAAAGGTTTGGATAGGACGGTGAAGTTGGCAATGATGGAAAAAGGTGTGCATTTCTCTTAATAGGAAGAACTAAGCTATGCCCTCTTTTGGTATCTTCAGGCTGTACAACTTCATGGACACCCAGATATCCCTACTTGCTTTTCCATACAGGTTTTTACCTGATACCCCTTATCTTTCCTGCTGATACCACAATCACGTCATAATTTCAGTTCATAGATAATCCTTTCCCTCCAAACTTCTAAGTCTAGAACTGGTACCAACCAGGGAGATACCAGCCTGAAAAACGATTAGGTCAGAGTCGAGCCAGCAAACCTGAGACTACAGTTTCCTTACTTTCTAATAGAAACTCACAGCTGTGTATGCTGGTGGAAAGGAAAGCAGTGAGGTTGTGTTGTTATTACATCCTTTTAAAATGATGACCATGAAAGTTATTTGCATGGAGGTGAATGAAATCCTACGGCACAGAATGAGGAGGTGGAGATGGGTGGATGAGATGCTCTGGAAGTCTGGTGGCTGAAGCCTCCATGCCCTATTCTTTGTCTCTCTGGGGTTGCTGGATTATCCCCTTCCAGGAGGCATACTCCCCCCTCAGATTACCTAACAGTTTGAAGCTAAACAATCAAACAAAAAAAAAGGAAGTAAAGTTCTTAAATGTATATCTATTAGTCTGTTTATAAGCATCCATGTACATATATATTCCACTAAAAGGGAGGAAAGAAATGCTCCTTTCTTACTGTGCTAAGATTTAAACCAAAGGGTTGAAAAAAAAAAAAAATAGCAAAAGACATAGATGCAGTCGACTTTCAGATCAATTCAATTAATCTAGGAGAGCATATTCTTAATAAATGGCTTCATTTGCTTTTAAGGATAAATAATCCATGCTAACAGCATGAAGCACCTGCTGCTGCTGTGCATAGCTCTTCATTTAGTATCTGTGGGGCTTACTGTCACCAGCAGCACATAAGAGGAAAGAAAATACTCAACATTTTGTATAGCATTCATCAGATTCTTCATTTTGCTGTAGTGGCATAAGCAGTAAGAGTGCTTAACCCACTGTGGGTTTCCAGGCTTTCCAGGGTGTCTGCACCCTTTACACTGAAAGCAATTTTGTTCTGCTTTAGCTGTGGTTTAATCCAAGAAAAACTATCTTAATGCTGATCCTGAAGAGACATGAGCAAAACCACAATCACTTAATTAAACTGTAAACCTGTAGTTGACAACAGACCATTAGATTCCAAACAGTATTTCCTTCTTTTGCACTAAGCAAATCCTGCCAGATTTGGTTAAATAAAATGTGTGACAATCAGTTTCAGAGACAAAAACTGGAAAATGAAGTGCCAACAACTGCTGAGAAGCCTCAGCTGAGAAAATAATAATTTCATATTCACATTTCTCACCAAAAAAGCCTTTCCCTGACCTTCAGAATACGAGATCCGCCTACTCCATCAGTTAGGGAGCTCTAAAGCAAGCGCCTTCGATCCCAAGTAACATGAAAAACCACACAGCAAGACAAAGTAATACAACATCGAACAGGAATGCAGGTAACATCTGTGAGGCTGGTTTTTGCCTGAATGCTTTTATCCTTCTTTTAGTTCTCAGTTTCACCTAATTGCTGACTTTGGCAAAATCCAAATAATTTGTCATCGTTGACTTCAAATATTGGCATTCACAAAACCATAAAAAGCACATACGTACCTCTAGCAACACCTGTGATCGATTATACCGTCACTCTCTGAATACCCTCTGGAGATTTTGCTCAGTCCCAAAAGGAGAGGGGGAAGGGATGAGAACAGTTGTCTGATGAAGAACACTGTATTAACTCCAATAAAAATATGATTTTCCCCACGCGTTTGACAGCATGGTGAAAATCATGCTAGCCGGATTCCATGCAAAGCAGTCCTTCCAAACACTGAGTGGAGTCAAGCAAACTCTACTGCAGCAACGATGAGGAAAAAGTTGATGTATCAAGGCAGAAACCCCAATCTAAAATTCAAGGGAATGGTAACAAAACAGAATCAATACACACAGCAATTTCTATAGCAACTGGGGAAAAAAAAAAAAAAAAAAAAGAGTTGGCTCCTTAACTGCTAGCACAAAGCTTCTGTGGCAAATTAGGGGACCTGTCCCTACTGGCACTCCTCTGATCGACACGCTGAATCGATGCCCAGCGCATTCCTCCCGCGCTCGCTCTCCTGCTTCCCCGGGCTCTGTGCAGGGCACGCCACGATCCCAGGCTGTGAGTGGAGCGCACACAAGCACACACGCGCAGCCCATGCCAGCACACATGCTCCTGCTCGCTCCTACACCCACAGCATCTCCGCACTCACCGTCACGGGCTTCCTCCCCGCGACTGCAGTTGCTGCAAATGTGTTTGATCTCCTTGCCTATGTGACAGTGTAGCACGAACGAGACATTGCTGTTAGTGGCGGGCTCCTTCAGTGGCTTCATCCTCACTAGATAGAAAGCTTTCTTTTTAGGTTTCTCTCCGCTCATGCCTGAAACAGAGCCCTGCCCGCTGCCAGGAGAAGGAAAAGCCAGCATCCCAGGCTGCCTGGCGCGCGTGCAAGCCGCCATCCGCTTGCTCTTGCCTTGGTGCTCATCTGCCACACGCCACAGGGATCACGGGGAGGGCTAGGGGAGAGGGGAGGCGGGCGGCGGCAGACGGCAGCGCTCTCCAGCTCGGCTGCCCCCCACGACCCTGCTGCTCCACCAATCCGGCCAGGCTGGGCTGGAGGATGCTCCGTGTCCCCTCCACGCTGTGAGCATCCTCCCTTCGCTCCCCTCCTCCCGTTCCCTGTCTCTGCTCTGGCAGCCCCTCCCCAGGTCTCCAGGCAGGATGCATGGGCACTAGTGCAGCCCGTTCCACAGTTATCAATATTTTATACACCAAGAGCCAGCCTGCCAGCTGGCAGAAGGCTGTGCCCCCCGGCCCCACATGAGGCTTTGGCAGGCCTGGGTGCTGCAGCCAGCTCCTCTCCTCTAAATCCCTTCTACCTTTTCTCCTTGCTTCTTTTTTAAAGCCAGAGGAGAGCCTCTGCCTGCTCCTGTCCCGTGTGTGGCTTGCAGTGACAGCTATTGACAGCGGCTGGCACTGCCCGAGAACATCTGAACAGGACCACTCTCCCTCACACTGAGACTGAGCAGCACGCAGGGTTTGGAGCTCATCATGCACACCCCTTTCTTTGCCTCTAGCCCAAGACACAGCAGCCCAAGGAGCAGCCAGACAGCCCCGGGTGCATGCACTCATGTCTGGGTGCTTTCATGGCTCCTGCAGCCTGAAGGGAATTGTAAACCTCTGATCAGATGCCTTCCTGATCACCTGCTGCCCACATGCCCCAAAGCACACCCTCTTTCCATAGCAGAGCAAACAGCCTGAGCTGCCCATCCTGTTGGAGCTGAAGCTCAGGAAAGAGCCTGTGACTCAAGGATGAGGGGGCAGGAGAACACAAGGGACAGGATGCCTGCTTCCTGCAGGCTTTGGGGAGGAAAGCCCAAAGAGGTGGTAACCTCAGCTATTTTGGTAGCTGTTACAGTAACATGAGTACTGTTGCTTTAAATCTTCAGCAAGCTATCTGTTTGGCAAGCACAGAGCCGAGAGTGCAATTGGGGCAGGCAAAACAAGGTAAAACGACACCATTCCCCTTATTTTTAGCCTTTTTTTCCATGCTAGAAGAAATCATCTAATTCCACAATTCTTTGCCCTTTTCACACCTTGTTGCCACATTTTCTCTAACAAGAGGCTACAATGGCTCTGATCCTCCTCAGCTGCATGTGAAGCAGGCAGTGAGAATTCTGCCTAAAAGATGGAGCAGAAACTTAAGGATTCAGTGCCTGCTTTTCCATTTTCTCAAATGCACACACACACACACACACACACAAGATGCATGCAATGAAACCACTGACCTACTTGTTCATTCTGCTGCAGGTCCAACTTCTCACCTGGCACTACAGGGAGCTGAAGCCTTGAGATGTCACACAGCAAGAACTGCGAGCCTTCACTCTCCTCAGCAGCTCTCACAAATGAGACGAGGTGCTGTGAGGGCTTCATACCGTTCACTAAGCCATGCAAAGCATCCCGCACATTGTGCTATGGCTAGGC